TGGGAAGAAGGTAAAACCTGCCAGCTACTGGGCTCAACGGTATGAGGGATCTCAGAGTGCCATAGCTTATTTCTTTATCATTAAAGAGCGCAGTCAAGGTATCACGAACAATATCTTTGAACTCGTTTGTTGGGTCATGATCTTTCCGCTTGTAATATGATGCATCACTGAGCTGCCTATGGCCTTCGCTGATATATTTGCTTCGGTCCATTACAACAATGGCGCCTCCTTTATCTGCAGGTTTTATAATTATGTCATTACGACCAGCGAGGGATTCAATTGCTTGTTGCTCTCTGTCAGTAAGGTTGCGGTGCAATGGTGTACGTTCTTTATATGCCTGCATGACATCGCGTTGTACAGCTCTGATATAAAGGTCCAGACATTTGTCTCTTTGGGAGGGGGGTGTCCAATGCTTGTAAGATGGCAATGATGAGCTATCGGTATTGTGAGCCGAGAAGCGATCATAAAAGTACTCACGGAGGCGCATGTTACGTTCGAAATTGTGAAGATCCTTCACCAACTGAAATTCACTATAGCCTCCTGTTGCAGGGCAAAAATTAAGTCCTCGAGATAACACACTACGTTCCTCAATTGATAGATCGTAACATGACAAAATTATAATGTTATCCTGTCCAGAAGATTTACTTTCCAGCTCGGGCTGGCGCATTTCAGCTGTAGTTAGAATGTTTCCTCGTCGGGAGCATTCCTTTTTTCTAAGTTGTCACGCGCGACCTTCTTTGACTTTTTAGCATCCAGCTCGGCTAACTTCTGTGACCGATATAATTCGAGAGTTTTTAATTCTTCAGTCGTAAACTGAGATGATTGCACAAGCTGTTTTTCCTGATTCCGCAGACCTTTTTCTGATGATTCATAATGACTAATAAGTATGCTGGTTAGTTCAACAGACGCCCGATTTAAGGTGTTGTGCCACCTTGACAGGTTTTTCTTTGACATCTCTGATGTGGCCGGCTGCAGTTTTAGTTGTAAACCTTTAGGAGCACTTGTTGCCGCGACATACATTCTAAGCATAGAAATGTGGGATTCACAACGAGTCCGTTTTTCTATAACCTTCCTGGTCCTTAAAAAATTCATTGAGCCAACAGATAAAGTACTCTCACTTAGCTGGCGTTGTGTTAGTCAGTTGGTTCCTCTCGTGGTTGTGCCCCTGTTCCGGAGTCCGTAGCGTGGTTGAGACGGCGAAAGTGATGCAACGACTGCAGGCGGCGGTAGGCAAGACGTAGGCTGTGTAGATTGAGACTTGTTCATGTGGGTGCGCGCTGCTTTCGAGGTGACGTTCTCTGCTACGGAAGGCTTGCTCGTCATGGTGAAGGTTGCTGTCGGCGCGGTGTTGTTTCTTGAGTTCGGCTGTGCTGTAGGATGACTGGGTGCTGAAGGTCGCCCAGCTCGATCCACTCGATGCGGAGAGTCGTCATTCGTTGATGAATCGCACCAGGCAGCTGATGTCGCATCCACCGGTCTCCTGAAGCACAGGCGGCGGATGTGGCTTGCAAGCAACGACACACCCTCGAAGCTCATATGAAGGCCGTCTGCTGCGAGGACGCGTGTGGGTGGTAACCATTCGATTTCATGATCGAGGTAGCAAACTAGCCGGGAATAGCGGCAAAAGTTCCGAAGCATGCTGTTGAAGACTGATGCTTCTCTGTTGCAGCGTCGGACGAATGTCAGGTTAGAGTTCCTTTGTCGACGGTTTCCACTTCTAGGCAGTATCAGCGTGGCGTAAATTCGCCGAATTTCTGGGCGGTATTTTGCAATGCTTTCAAGTAGATCGCGGTACTTTGCAAACGCCTCGTGTCCCGAACACGAAGCCACATCGACCGTCCCAACATGAAGAATAAGACAGGATGCTGAGCGGGGCACTAGACCCAGTAAGTCACGCACATCACCGATTGTAGCACCGCACTGCGAAATGAAGGCTGGTGCGCCATTGCTGAGGGGGTCGAAGTATTGATGTATATACTTTGTTTGTGAATCTCCCACAACTGCTGTGGTAGGAGTGTGCACAGGGTATTTCGAAATCATCCTTTTCTTCAGTGCTGTCCCAGGACCCATGGTTGAAGAAGAACTAAAAGGGAAGGCACGACAGGTCCGGGTATTTTCTATATTGAAATAACTTGAAGATAGCACATAAGAAAAGGATCGTATTTACTAACGTTTCGGCCGTGGCATGGCCTTCGTCAGAGTAAGTAGGTATGATACAATGCAGCCGCTTTTATAGGCTCACGTGATGAACTCTCGGTATTGCAGCTAGGACAATCAAAGTAAAAAATGGTAATCTGTCAGGACCTTGTGTGTACATGACTGACATGTGACGGGTGCATGAATATAAAAGTTTCAAGTTTCCTTGCGCATCGACACGTGGGGCACAGTATGGTTGGCAGTTCATGTAAAAGAGCTCAGAAGTAAAGAAACCACGGTTGACTAATATACAATTTAATATACACTAAAATATTTTACTAATCTAAGAAGTCGTGTTGTTATAGTGCGAGGCAGGTGAGCTTTGCTACGTTTTCATTGATACCTGAACGAATGGTGTTAAATTTGTGGATCAAGAAGGATTCCCTCACTTCCCTATCGTGATTTGTCTTAAAACCGGACTGAATAATCGTGGCCCTAATTTTGTCGAAACCATGGCCAGGCATACTGACGTGCTTCGACAGCGGTAGATTAGGGAGGCTTACGGCATGTGCACGGTGATTATTAAAACGAATTCTGAAACTTGTCTCTGTTTGACCTATGTACTGAGCACCGCAAGTTGAACACTCGAGAAGATAGATGACGTTGATACTATCACACGTGTAGTTCCCATTTATCTTTAAAGAAAAACTGGACGATGTACTTGAAACTGTTTTAGATGTCGTCATGTGCGCGCACACTTTGCAACGTGGTTTGTTGCAGGGATGACAGCCTTCATGATGTGAACACGTGGTTTTAGATGAGGTTAGTAAATCACGAAGGTTCCGCGATATATATATATATATATATATATATATATATATATATATATATATATATATATATATATATATACACATAGTAACAGTGGACCGATAAAACCTGGTACATATGATGTTAAGATAAAGCACGCCTCATGCACGCGTCATCAACGATCGCGACATTCTGAACTCGCCGATGTCAAAGTGAAGTTTCCAGATACTTCTTTTTTTAGCTGACAAAGCTATTGAAGCCACACACATACATTTATCTTTCATTTTTTCAATTTCAAAAAATTCAATGATTTCACGTGTAGTTCTGTCACGGACCCTAAAGAGAACTCGAGTGCTTCGAAACACAGAGACACAACCACACCTCTGACAGTGAAAGGCCAAATGACCAGATGTAGATTTTCTACGTTGTATTTGTGTTCCCTAAGTATTTTGTTCACACACCTTCCAGATTAGCCAATGTACACGCAATCACAAGTCAAAGGAGTGCCATAGACAAAACCACGACAACAATTCACAAATTTTCCCGGTGCTTGATCTTACACTCCCGTTTCCCGCTGCAGTCTGCGTTAACCTTTTTGCACATTCCTTGCAACCGTTCGGGAGCAGAAATAACTGCATCCGCACCAGCCTTTTCGCTATCCTTCGCTAGTTATGCGAAATGGCATGCATGTAGGGCAATACAGCAACCTTGGCTGACTTAGTTACAGCTGCCTGGTCTCTGACGTTTGCCCTTCCTCTCCTGATCATATTTTTCGCGACGGTGGTTAACAGGCGCATGGGATAAAGAGAATCCAATAAAAGTTTAGCTTGAGCCCACAAGCTTGCATCAAGCTAGTGGTGGCACGACTTCACCACTGAATTTTGAAAACAGGATTTTATCACCGCTTGCTTTACCAATTTTGAGTGAGTGAACGTGAACGAAAGAACCGGTTTATTTCCTCGTGGTTTATAGCTCCAGCATACTCTTGCTGACCGAAAATACAGCCCGATGTCAAGGAATATTATAAAATTGTCATTTGGTACTTCATGCGTCAGCACCTGGGGAGATAAAACTGTCAAGAACATGGTTAGAGTGTCTGTCACAACCGCGTCAAAATTGTTTTGATCATTATTGGCAACAATCAGATAGTCATCTCTAGTCAAAGGAGTGTCTATGGCACTGCTTTGAATTTTGATTGCGTGTACATTGGCCAATCTGGAAGGTGTGTGAACGAAAGACTCAGGGAACACAAACTCAACGTAGAAAAAGCTATATCTGGTCATTTGGCCCTTCACTGTCAGAGGTGTGAATGTGTACCTGTGTTTCAAAACACCCCCATTCTCTTTAGGACCAGTGACAGAGCTACACGTGAAGTAATTGAAGCCTTAAAAATTGAAAACAGTGAAAGATAAATGTGACAGTGTGGCTTCAATAGCTTTGTCAGCTAAATAAAAGAAGTATCTGGAATCTTCACTTTGACGTCAGCGAGTTCAGATTGTCGCGATCGATGATGACGCGTTCATGAGGCGTGCTGTATATTAACATGTAGTGTTCCAGGTTTTATGGGTCCACTGTTACTATATACATAGCACGTTTGATCGCAAATAAAACAATAGTTGCAAGTTAGTGCTATGCGTATGTGCGTCTCTCTTCTTGGGTCCTTGTCGTAGTGTGCAATACCATACAAATGGTGAACCCCAACCAACTAGGCCGGCAACGTATCTTCGTAAAAAGGCAATGAAACCTAGCCGAAGAGCACAGTGACTCATTGACTTGCTATGAATATCAAAGAGTGGACTCAAGGAGAGTTCCGCAAGCACGTACTTCGACTCCCGCGTAGTAGTCAGGTAGGAATTTGTAAGCATAGCCAGGTGTGAGTGGTTTGCGAACGCTCTGATAAATAGGCTTTGTAATGTTGACACTAAAGCTTGTATTGGTAAGAGCGTCACTAGCGCTCGTGGCTGAAGATTTGAATTGATTCATCACATATTTCTTTCACAATATTTGTGTGCGAACAACAGGTAAATAACAGAAGCAGAACAACGCAAACTCACCCTCGATGATATTATCCCAGACTACGTCAACGTATTGGTCCCTGTCGGGCCGGCTATGCTCGTGGAAGAAGCCGAGCGCGTGCAAGAACTCGTGCGCCACCTGACCCAATCCCATGCACAAGCGTGGGTCTAGCGCCACCGTCTGCTCTCCACCCTGCATTCCGACATTGGAAGCACAACGGCCCCTGCGTTGAAAGAAATTAATACTCATTGAAATCATAGTTGCACTGACCAAAATACATCACTTCAATTACCGCCATTTTTGTTCAGATAGATATAACGAGCCTCAAAATGCCTTCTCTGAGCAGAACCTGTACAGAAATCGTTCCTGTATTCGCAGATTTCAGCTACGGTGGCGGCGCCACACGGCAACCACCGAAAGCCCTCATGCCTTGATAGAGCAAGGCTCGCCTGGCGACAACGTGTACGCTAGATATTGTCGGCGTCACTTTTCGCGAGTTCTTACTTATGGGGACTGATCGATTGCCAATGTTTTGTCGGTTGAACATCCCTGAATGTACCCGCTTCTGCAATGGCCAGAAAATTCAAGAGCAATCGCATATGCTCTGTACGTCGATGGTCGAACCATACCGTCAAAGGCATCGTAAGCCTTCATTGTTTTACGGTCTGAGGAAGCAATGAGGAAGCAATGAGGAAGCAATGAGGCAGCAATGGACTGTAATACTGTGCATCAAAAAGCTTGTCACAAAAGAACTGAAAGCTTGCAGCGCGCATTTCGAACCGAATGACTACTTCTAGGCCACAGCAGGTGAGTGATCATCTTGAATTACTTCGAACGAGGGTGGCAAAGAGTTGCTTAAGCAACGAACGTACTCGCAGTAAATTCACACGTTATCCTGTTTGCCGACAAATAAGAAGGGTAAAACTCGAAACAGCCTTTCTTACTCTTCATTGTCATATTTTTATTACCTTTTCTTGAATGGGTGTAAGCAAACAAGCTTGAAAACATCTGCCGGTGGCTTGTCGTCGACTATGTGTGTACATCATACAATTTGTGCAGACTAAAGGGCTATTTATTGATAACGAACGCTTCTAATCTTCATTTGTGTACTGTGTGTTAACTGAGACTGAGTGCGCACCCTTTAAAAGGTACATTGTCTAGACACCTCGTGTTATCGGTGTCGAGCGGGCTCTTCAAATATTTACCATATTTACGCAATGAATGAGAGGCCACATGTGCATACACCATTAGATTAGCACAAGCTCTATGAAACCACCGAAAAGAGGTTCTAGGGGACAATCTTTAAATGAGCCACAATGACCACGTGACACTGCCTCCTGGTGCCTGCATGACTTTCAGGATGCTGTTTATGCCTTTTGAAGAGAAAATCGTCATAGTGCAATTCGTTGGGGTGGATGTGACTTTAAAGCCAGAGAATAGTGTGAAAGCACTCTTGTACTGAGCTAGGAAAGTTTACGGCTTAGGCGTTCCCATGTTTTTATTTCTACAGTTTTCAGTTTAGGCAATATTGGCAAAAGTGTTGCACAGCTAATGCTAAAAAACTGCCAAAATGATGTGTCCTACTGTGAATGTTTCAAGGATGTTTTGAGGTCGTATTTTCATTGAAAGATAAAAGTACACTCTATTTCAGGCACCATAGCCACCCGTGCTTCCGCTGTATACAGCAGCGATGAAGATGAAGGTGCACACACTAAACGAATTCTGACCCATAAGGTTGTAAAAAATGGGTGCCACATTGTAAGCACACCCTTTGAGCACCCTATTCGCGCCTCAGCATTCTATAAGCGGAACCAAAAGGGTGCATAAATCAAAAGGGTATAAACTAGGGTGCAAAAGAAGTGGAAAAAACTAATGGGTGCCGATGAGCACAGTCGCCGACAAAACTTTGCGAGCAACGTGGTCATGGAGCATGACTAAGAGCTTTTAGAGGTCCCCTGGTTAGACACAATGATCTCATTAGTTGCCCCACAACATTAACGGATATCTGAATAGCGGTAGTGCCCAACTGAACGTAAGTTCTACATTAGTTCTGGCATTCGTGCTGCCTCTTCCTCGTCGCCTCATGGCCGGCGCTGACCAAACTATGCTCTACAAGCTCACTAGCCAATGGCGGAGTACGCAGCTTGTAGAGATACAACAGGATTTTTAACAACACATATAGAGCTCTGTGCCTCGTTAGCACGTAACATTGCAAACAAACCTTAGTCAATGACTATATATAGAAATGATGTATTTGTTAATGCAAAGAAATACACACAAACAAGACCATGGTAGACGAACTGGTTTTTGTGTAGTACAAATATTTATTGACCTTACAATGTATCAGAATAACACGGGTTACCAAATTAGTGATGGGCTATGGGCTTTGACGTTTGATTAATATAGCAATAAAGGAACGTTTGCTTATTTTTGTTTAGAAAAATATTTTTCAAACCAAGTTCAAATAAGCCTTCACTAGAACCTTTTCCTAAGAGAATCGTTTACTAAAGATAGCTAAGATAATGTTTCCCAATCAAGTACCAGTACGCTTATTTTGTTATGGCCGATTTCGCTTGCTGCCTGTAATTTGTTTTAAATACAGCGATTTTCCCAGTATTTTTAACAGCCAGCTTAACTACTCAATTAATGAACAGATGTTAACAAGGCATCGGTATAAGAAAAACACAAACAAGCAAATGTTTCAAATTTCGCACGAACACGTGTTTTGTGTGTGTTTTTATTTTGAAGTAAAGAAATATTTTATGCAGTGCATAGTGCCGTATCTTATATTTTCGCACATTTTTGCTATATTTTAAGGCAGAAACAACCTTTTTACTTGAGATATAAAAAAAAACATGTGTCCAAACGCGGATTGGTTTCGTCAGCAGAACAGAAACGGCGAAAACTTTCCTAAAACCACAGCAGCAGTGTGTGAAGCGTTTGTAGTCAAATTTGTTGTTGTTCAAAGTGTGCCTGCGCTGTCTTTTGGCTACTGCCAGTACTGTTTGTTACGAAGATGCACTATACTCCCGAGAGAACCGGCTGCTTCGTATTGTTCTGAGTAACGCAGATTGTTATCTTAACATTGAATGAAAGCGCCCAGATGTCAGTCAGCAACGTTGCCTAAAAGTGCTTAACGTTCTCTTTTCTGATTACATGATAACGTTGCTTCTAACATTCAGGACGATATGGCAACGTCCAGAATCACATTTTCAACATCAAGGCAATGTTTTGGCAACATACCGGCAACGTAGTGTCAACACTGCTGTGTGACGTCTTGACTTTCATCCGACGTGTGCAGAAAGTATATACTACTGTGTGTGCATTATTAAAAAAAGACATTTTGACTTCCATTGTAATAAGGGTTGCAGTGCAAGTACGAAAGTGCCGGAAGAAAGGCAGGCAAAAGGTGAGGAACGGAAGGCAAAGAAGACAACAGGTGTTGTCTTCTTTGCCTTCCGTTCTTCGCCTTTTGTTTGCCTTTCTTCTAGCACTTTCGAGCTTGCGCTGCAACCCTTATTACAACGCAATATAACCAACTAGCTCAAATAGCCACTCTTCTGCATCTTGACTTGTTACGGGAACAATCCTTAAGCTTTTTGCCAAGAAAAAAGCACTGGCATAATGTGAAAAATTGCATAATTATTGTGTATTTACAAAAATGTTTCCAGACAGCTCTTTATCAACACATTCGTTCAAGCTCTAACAAGTGGTGTTAGAACAGCCAAGCGCTAAAAATGACAGAACACAATTGTTCGTGCCCATAAGACCGAGAACAGACTTTTCGAGTCCCAAAGTTTCCAACGCGTGTGATATACATGCTGCATTTTTGTTAGAGCATTGAAAAAAGTTGCTATGCGCTGTGTAAACATTGACTACAATAGATGAACATGAGTAGAGGGTGCAGTATTTTTATGTGCAGAATTGCAACAACCATGAGGACATGTATTCCTACAGCATAAGGAGGAAAGAACATGCCGAAGGGCCTGAATGTCATATGAAAGAAAAAAGAAGACATTTATTTACAAAGAACTCCTCGAGATTTGCTCGTGCTCGTGAAGAAGAACACGACCGGATGTGAATCCCGAACGCTGGTCGCGCTGATTCTGTTCTGCGCTGCTGCTCACGGGTTGGAACGGCTTGAACGACGGGCGACAGGATTGTACTTGAGTTTAACGTTTGCTTATTTGTGGTTTCAGTGCTTTTTTGGTAGTTGTTTGTGGTTTGTGCCATATGATTTTCTAAGTTCAAGCGACTCAGGCTATTTAAATGTCGATTTCTTCGCCTGGCCAAGGGCCTTCTCCTTGGCTAGCATCTATACCGGCCAAGGATTGGCCGATTGATTCTTTTCTTTGCAGTGGGGTTATCAACGTCCCCGTGGCTCTGGTACCGACCAATGGAGGTACGATACCTATGAAGAACCCGAAGATGATTCAAATGGAGCTTCGGAAAGCCACAACACACTTTCAAAAGATCACTGAGGTCCGGCATTTCGGTCGTGGTGGTATTTTATGCTGCTCTGCTGATCAGGAGTGCGTCCGAGACCTTCTCAATTGTTCCGAATTTGCAACGCAGCCGGTGAGCCCATTTATTCCAGCGCATCTTGCATGTTCGAAAGGCATAGTCCGCGGTGTAGATACGAGCCTGACCCCTGCAGAAATTTATGAGTTATTTTCGGTAGCTGGTGCAGTGTCAGTATACAGGTGCACGCGTCTGGTTGACAATAAAAAATCACCTACCGAATCGGTGATAGTAACCTTTGCGGGAACGATAAGACCATCTGAAATTGAAGCTTGGCCTCTTATCTATAAGGTAGAGCCTCTATCCCCTAAGCCACTGCAGTGCTTGAATTGTTGGAGATATGGCCACAGCGTGAAAAGGTGCAGATCAACTGCCAGATGTCGACTATGCGGAGAAAATCACGACAGCCGTAAGTGCAACTCGACGGAAGAGAAGTGCTGTTTATGTCATGAAGCGCATCCTGCTGACTCTTTAGATTGTGAGGCGAAAGAACGAGAAGTTAAGCTGCTGGAAATTGTGGAACGCAGGCGTTGCTTCCGAAGGGAAGCTGTTACTGAATTACAAGAACGCTCAAAAGGTTACGCAAGCGTAACAGCACGACATACCACTTCTACGGATGCATCGTTAGCAAAATATACAGCAGAGGCTATAGAGAACTCAACGGAAAAGACGATGAAGCGTCTTACCAGCAGTACTATTGGAGTCGTGACTGAATTGTTGACATCTCAGTTGACCCAAATGATTGCTTCAGTGTCTATGAAAAATCAGACTTCACAGGATTTGGAGGTTTCAAAGTGTGCCGGGACAGAAAGTCCCATAGCTCCTACACGATGCGCATCTCCTAAAGCAGGGTCCTCCAATAAGATACTGCGGGCAGATCCAGAACCCGTATCAGATGACAATGATGAATTCACAGATATGGATGCGGAATCTCATAATTTCTTGAAGCGTGCCAGATCTCCCCTATCGATAAAGTCTTCACAGAAATCAAAATCTAAAAATTTCCTGTCAAAGAAAGACGTTTTGGAGAACCTCTCCAAAAAAGACTTTTTGAAGAAGGATTTTTTGGATCAAGCAGTCTCTGCGGCGGGTTTATAGTGTCAAAATAGGCTCCTTAAAAGTATTACAGTGGAATTTTCGATCAATAGGGTCGGCTACCACAGATTTATCGTGTATTTCTTCGCAAATTTCTCCAGATATTATTACTTTACAAGAAACTTGGCTTACAAATGGACAAAAATTTTACCTAAAAATTATCGCTTATTTCGAATAGACAGACCTAGCAGAAGTGGTGGACTTGCCATTTTTATATCAACTAAATTTAGTCACACAGCGAAGATTAACTAGCTGTGCATGGATTCCAACTATGAAATTATGGTATTAGACATCACTCTGCCCGGCTGTTCCCCTTTTTCTTTTGTTAACGCATACTTTCCGGTAGGAGTACAGGACACAAGATGCTTAGATGCAATGTTAGCTTCCTGCAGGAAGGACGTAATATTAACTGGTGACTTTAATTCACACCACGTGTCTTGGGGTTTCAAGACTGATGTAAATGGAAGGCGCTTGTGGGAATAGACTGTTGATAATAACTTTTCTTGTGTAAATTTCCCCACTGTTACGTTTATTAGGAGACAATCAAAGTCGGCGATAGATCTGACCTTTTCCATCTCCTCACTAAACATTTCGTCGTGGAAAACATTAGATTGCGCAACAAACAGTGACCACCTTCCTATTAGCTTCGATATTAACCTTCCCGGGATATTTTTAACTGGTAAAATTGGCTTGTTTGTAAATTATGAGCGTTTACAAAAAGACTTAAAGTCTACTTTGGTTCTTCGCAGGGATATGCAGGAAGACATTCGGGCTATAAGTCTGTGTGCGGTATTGAGAAGAACAATGAAAAAGTCAACTTTTTCAATAACTTCAGGCACAGGCGGGTCGCTTAGCCCATGGTGGAACTCTGATTGTATGAGGGGGTATAAAAAACGAAAAGCGGCGTGGAAGCAATTTATCCACAACCAATGCCCAAAAAACTGGTGTGACTATAAATACGTGGCAGCAGATTTTAAACGTACAGTACGCAAAGCAAAAGATGACTATGACACAAACAAATTTAGCTATCTTTCAAAACCACACACCAGAAAAGCGCTTGTTAGATTTTTGCATTCCAGAAAAATGATACCATCATCAGACAATATTGATTCTTCAATTCTATCGCCTAGCAAACTCACTGAAATATTAGAAAATATTGCTAAAGGATTAGAAGAAATATTCAGATCAACAATGCCAAGACACATAGTAAAGCCAAATGCAGGGGAGGAGTTCAATGAGGTGACATTAGCGGAACTAGCGGGTGTAGTGAGGCACTTACCTCCTACAGCACCTGGACCAGATTGAGTAACTTCAGCAATGATAAAAGTACTATATCACATTTCCCCACATGAACTCTGTAATATGGTTAATTACTCTTTGAAAAATTCTTGGATACCGGCGGATTGGAAACTTTCCAAAATAATTCCGATACCTAAAAAACAGGGACTTGGGTATACACTTGACAATGTGAGGCCGATTTCTCTTACATCTAATTTGCTTAAACTAACTGAAAGAGTTTTGAATGCACGTGTAATAAAATACATTGAGGAGAAATCAATACTGAAACCCGGTCAAATTGGCTTTAAATCGGGATGCTCCACATGGTGTGCGCACGCGGATTTGGAGAGTCGTATACAGTTGGCTAGGCGTAGAAGAAAGTATTGTGCATTAGTTACTCTGGATTTGGCCAAGGCGTATGACAAAGTGGAGCATAAAATACTAATAGAGCAGATGGAAATGTCCCACTTACCAAACTACATGACAGCATGGGTAGCAGAGTTTTTAAGGGAGAGAGAGTTTTAGTGCTTTCAAAGGGGTTGTTTTTCTAACAGATATCGACAATACCGTGGCGTACCGCAGGGGGCAGTGCTCTCACCGGTATTGTTTAACATCTTCCTCAGTTCGATTCCAACACATAGCGATATTCATTTATATGTTTATGCAGATGACATTGCTTTCTTTGCGACAAACAGTGATCCGCAATTACTTTATCAGATATTACAGAATTACCTGAACAGGATAGAGGAATGGCTTGAAAAAATTGGAATGTCTCTAAACGTAAACAAAAGCGCGCTTCTGGCGTTCTCGTTCAGGGATCTTGTCAACATCTCCTGGATGTATGGCACAGAGCAGATTCCACAGGTGGATTCACTCAAATACTTAGGCATCATATATAACAGCTCGTTAAATTGGAAAAGCCACATCGATCACATTGCGTCCAAAGCAACACGAGCCATGGGGTGCTTGTTACGCCAGCTCAGCAACATATAAAGGGGGTTGCGAAGAAATACATTGGTAATGGTCTATAAAATGTACATTCGTCCTATCATGGAATTCGGCTGTGTCTTATTTTCGGGCAGTGCGACATATAAAATGAGACCACTAATACTATTAGAAATGGAGGCTTTACGACTGTGCCTTGGACTGCCCAAGTTTGTTGCTAACAATGTGCTATACATGGAAGCGCATCTACCGTCATTGTTGAATAAATTCAAAATACTTACTATCCAAACATTTTTAAAACTATACACTGTGCGCCAGAGAGCATCGTTTTATGCTTTTATTAAAGAACCAAGTTTATTTTTTGAAACTTGGTGGTCACAATTCCGCTGCCCACAGATATTGTTCGTTCAAGCGCTGCTTGAACCACTCAACGTCAAAATCAAACATATTTTCTCAACAAGAAACGTTAATATAGATGATAAGATAGAATTTGAGAATATTTATCCCTCTAACGCAAAGCAAATGCCATTTAAATATTTAAATGATCGGCTGCAGGATTACTTGGCACATGTGAACATGAACAACATAATTGCGACTGATGCATCCGTATCAAATGAAAAGGCTGGGGCAGGTATCTTCTCACGTTCCCTTGATTGGTCCTTTTCGGTTAGACACCCAGATTACACACCAATATTCATAGCAGAATTATTTGCTATTGTACTGGCACTACGGAAACTTCCTTTTGGTGAATCGGAAGCAGTCGTAATTACAGATTCTTTTTCAGTATGTGCTGCTCTTTCTTCAGGGGCCAACTTAACACTTATGCACATGTTTTGACAACTCATAACGACAAACTTGAAAAACTGCAGCTCTAATGGGTACCAGGCCATCGTGGCATATATCTCAATGAGACGGCGGATGCACTAGCCACAGTATCTCTTAGCGGTCCCCTTATCCCGATTTTGCCTGATACGGCTTACGCGAGAGCAATAAGGTTTAAAAACCTCTGTTTGCATGAATACGACTGCTACTCATTGGATAAATATCGAGATTTCGCACATCTAAGATGCCGCTGGAATAGACAGTGGTGTGCAACACGGCACTTGGAAGTTACTTTTAAAAGATTGCGTTGAAGAGTTCCTTAACTGAATTATTATTTGCATAAAGTTGGTCTAAAGGCGTCACCTTTATGTCAGACTTGCGAAGAAATGGAAACGATAGATCACTTCTTTTTGTTCTGTCGCCGATATTCTCATCAGTGGAAAAGATACCTGGTAGCTCCACTTGAAAAATTGGGATTAGAATTAAATGTGGCAGTAATTTTGTCGTTTGGCAGCATTAAATTTGGTTATAGCCACAGGGACGTCTGCTCTGCGGTATTTGAATACTTAATTGAAACAAAGCGATTGCTATGTTAATCTGCCTATATATATATATATATATATATATATATATATATATATATATATATATATATATATATATATATATATATATATATATATATTATATATATATATATATATATATCATTTTAGACCCACTATTACCTCTGTCTCAAATCGCAGCTGATAGCCTGCATCACTCCCTGCTCAGATATACTCCTTTTTCGATTTTCGGCTTTTCTTTCTATACTTTTTTTCAGCCCAAAATTACGTTTTCTTTGAAAAACTATTAGCCTTTTAGTTAAGATCCTGCCGCAGGTTCTTGGCCGATCCCCCTTTGTGGGTGTGCGCCAGAGTGTCAAGGATCATCATCATCATCATCATACTTATATTGTTTTATTTATTTTTTGCTGTTACAGAGCAAGGCATGAATGGGAGTGTTTTAAAACACATTTTAAGCATTCAATAATAAATATGAACAAGGCACGTCAAATCCTATGTCAAATCCTGGATCGTAAAAAACAAGTACCGTGCGATATGGAAACACATTTTGTTTTACAGTCATAGCAAAAATTTGACGGAAAAAGCTTTTATCTGTAGTATTTACAGTATCAGTGGGAAGGTGCATAAACAAGGACGAAGAGGCTGGCTAATCCTTGTGTCAAATACATAGGAGGACACGAATACTATAGACAGCCATTGCCTTGTCTATAAGTTTCTAACAGTAATGTATCCGTTGTATACTATGATGGTTGCCACTACTGTTGACTGTCTATGTCACGATTTCATTAATTCAGACAATATAACAGCGCTGAAAAACTGGCACATCCCACTAAGATAGAGCATGTTTTGATGGAGCACAAAAGGTTCAAAACAGGAACCCGTGTTTACCAAAACAGAAAAAAACCTGCGGATATCTGTGTAGCAAAATATTTTGCACATCAAAAAAAGTTTCTTATCAGTTTTAAAGCGACTGAACTTTGTGATTTCTGGCTGGCATGCATTCAGTAAGTAGTGGCTCATTAAATGGGGCCCCTTGGTTACATAAAAAATAAGCCTTTGAAATTCAAGGTAGCCGACACCCGGTCAGAAAAAGCGAAACGCGATCAGTGGAGCAACTGCTCTGTGTAATTCGTACACGACAATGACCTCCCAGCCACAAATAAACGAGAAATATCAATCACGAAACAAACACACAAGGCATACCACTATTTTCTGTTCAGTTCATTACCAAGTTGTCTTTTCCTTCGATGGACGATAAATGATTAAACTGCCTTAAAACGATTATTCTTGTTCATTCAGTTCATATTTTAATAATTTGTATCTAGAGGTGAGCTCAAGTAATCTTTCGATTGTTATGAGCTGCTCTGCATAACTGCCTCATATTTTTCATTCAAGAAATAATTGTGTTGTGTATGTTACTAATTTTAGCATTTCAACATTTTTGGATCTGTAGTGAATGCAGCTTCCAACTTGATACTTTGTAGCCATTGGTTATCCGCATCTTTGGAAAAGTGGCAAAGTATTCTCACTGGTTTGCGGATATAGTTAGGGAGGAAGTTAATTTTTTGAAGGTATTCAGAACGAGTATTATGACCCTATAGCCTCTTTCTCATAAGAGCATAACAGTATAAATATCAACTAAAGATATTATAAAATCACACTGGTGGGCACAGCAACAGCAGCAGGCACAGGAAATGCAAACTTTTAGAGCATAATGATGAATGCACACCAACCTGCATCCCCATCAGAGAAGCAACTAACAGCGATACCCCCACAACAGATCACATGCCCTGTGGATTTCGCATATGAAAACTGAGCAGTATATTGAAGTTGCCAGTCTTTACTCGAAACTTTGCCAATTTGGTTCAACTTGAGTGAACAAGCTCGTCAGGTCATGGTATGGCCAAGAGGGGTTCACTGTCGACAATGTCGGCAAAGAGTAATTGCAGGGTGATGGCTGTTAGGACCGTGGAATACGCCATGATGCGAGGCAATTAGTTGGCAATGCGGCCTGCATTATAAGAGGAAGTGATTAGACCCACACTAGCAGCTTATCAATCACACAAAATATTTAAATAGGAGCACTTCTCTAAAAAATTGCAGAGAATCGGCTGACAAGTTGTGTCTGCAACAAGAAGTATTGAAATGAAAAGGTATTGTAATGATGTATGTAGTGGGTCATGCATAGCTCGGAACACACATCGTCAGTGCTAAGCACGAGACGCTCGCGCCGGACATTATCGCTGCTTTCGCTGGCTAGGCCTACGCTCCAACCTAGTTTCAATAAATGTTCTGACTCTCACAGTTCTTTATTATAGTATGAAGGGTAACAACTTGACCATTGACATAGATGCCTATTCTGCTATGGGAGAACATAACAAGACACCTAAGATTAAGGATGCGGTAGGAGTCTCTGCCATTGATCGGATCATGTCTGGGTGCTCACATTCGCAGGAAATAGCAAATGGATGGATGGATGGATGGATATGGCTGTACCCTTTAGATCGGGCGGTGGCTAGCGCCACCAAGCCGTAATACTTAATGCACTTAAAACTATATTTATTTTTTTTTCCTTAAAAAGTGAGTTTGAAGATTCGTACTTTGCAGTGAAGAGTTTAATTTTCACTCGTGCCTTGACTTTAGCCACCAATCAGATAACCTCCTTCTAGTTAAGTCTACTTGCTTAAAGTCTATCTTGCCCTCCCGGTCCCTAAACCCCAGTGCTTTGAAAAACTCTGCGCCATCATCCTGAACTATAGGGTGAAGCCCTTTACAGAACATTATCAAGTGTTCGGCAGTTTCTTCTTCCTCTCCACACGCACTGCATACTGTGTCTACCCCTTCGTATTTGGCCCGATATGTCTTGGTTCGCAGTACTCCCGTCCTAGCCTCAAACAGTAGCGAACTACCCCGAGTATTATCATAGATCCTTTCCTTGGCAATTTCCTGCTTAAATGTTCGATAGATCTCTAGTGCGGACTTCTTAATCATGCCCATTCTCCACATGTCAGTCTCCGTTTCCTTCACTTTCTTCTTAACCGATAGTTCTTTTTGGTTTGGCCACCTGCTGTTTTCTAAGTATTTACCAGTCAACTTCCTGGTTCGCTTCTTCCATTTTGTATCGACATTCTTCATGTACAAGTAGCTGAAAACCTTCCTAGCCCAACGATCCTCCTTCATTTCTCTCAATCGCTTCTCAAATTTTATCCTGCTGCTAGTTTCGCTGCCATCAAATGATGTCCATCCCATATCACCTTGTCTTCCCTGATTTGGTGTATTCCCGTGAGCTCCTAAAGCAAGCCTACCTATTCCACGTTGCTTAATTTCTAATCTTGCTTGAACTTCTGGTCTCATGCACAAGACCGCATTGCCGAACGTCAGCCCAGGAACCATGACCCCTTTCCATATTCCTCTTACAACATCATACCTATTGTAATTCCACAGTGCCCTATTTTTCATGACTGCTGCATTCCTGTTACCTTTAGTCGTCACGTATGTTTCGTGTTCCCTCAGATACTCGGTCCCATTGCTTATCCATACGCCCAGATATTTGTATTTATCTGTTATCTCTAGCGTGACCTCCTGTATTCTAAGCTCACTACATTCGTTGTCATTGAAAATCATGACTGCTGATTTTTCCTTACTGAATCTAAAATCTAACCTATCTCCCTCATTACCGCAGATGTCCATCAATTTCTGCAAATCTTCCTCTGCAAAGGCTCTTATAAAAAGCGCCGTCCAATTGATGCGGCAGTGCATGAGAGGACAGGGTGGTGTTCATTTTGCAAAGTCTGAAGATTAAGAAGCAGCGTTGCACTGTCAGATTTCTTACAGCATACAGTGTTACATTGGCCATGATTCAGCACCTACGATTATCATGGCCATGAAAAAAACATCAGATAGATAAATGCTTCAACTCAAACGATGAACTCGGGAACGCTGTGGAACACGGGGTCTTGTCACGACCACAGGAGGTATGAAGAAAGGGAGTCCTCGATGCGTTTATCACTGGTATCGTCGTCATCAGGCCCATAATGTATACTTAAACTAAACTTCTCATTCAGGCTCGCAGTCCCTGCTTCCTTCAGCGCTGACTTTTTAGTCCCTGTCTTCTAACAGCGAGATCTTCAGTGCCATCAAGTGCACTGGATATGCCGCACTTCTGAAAAGAGCGCACAGTCAGAGTTCCTCGGATGTCGTCCGACACTGCAGCAGCAGCCCTTCTAGCGACACAATTTTTTTTTCATCTAGTCCAAAGTCTCGCCTGGCTTGAAAATTGGATGACGACTACGCAGCTAGGACAACTTTCCTTTTATAAGCGGCACCATAACGACTCCACCTGTTTGGCGCCACTGAGCTAAGCCACACACAAACCACTTGAAGCGCGACTTGAAATGACAAACAGTTCGCATCAAAGCTCGCAAGAAAGATCAAAATGGATGCTTCATGTGTGTACTTAGGTCAAGTGTTGGCTCGGCTACTAACCGCCACAATATCGTCTA